GAGTAGGGTTCAGGGTTTAGGGCCGAGTAGGGTTAGGGCTACTACAGCATTCGGCTGTCAAGCCCAACCCTCAATTATGAGCATTGCGCGGTTAGACTTGCTGCTGTCGCTACTCCAGCTAGCAGTCTTTTGGCTCACCAGACCTGCGACACAGTCTCGGCTAAGTTGCCAAGAGCTGGGTCCACCCGCCGCAGCACACCGATGACCTGCTGCAGAGATGGCTGCCTGGGGGCGCGGACGGAAGACGGCACAAGCAGGACAGAGCAGGATCTAAAGGGTCAAGGCCGCAAGAGAACGAATTCTGATGAAGCAACGTTCAGATGTTGGACAAATTTCGACAAACAGCGCACTTAAACCTGATGTAGACTTGCACATGAATGGCAGAAGTCCACACATATCCAGTGCTGCAAGCTTGGGCTGCTGACAGATGCTATTATTGCCAACCAGCAGAAAGGCCTCAAACACGATTTCCCTCCAGCCGTAGAGGCAGAAACAAGACTCGTCGTGTCACTTTGGGTTGTATCGACACATCCGAGACGGAGAAAGGATCGAAAGTCACAGCAATTGAAGCCGTTTCTTGATGTTTTCTCGCCAAGGAGAAAGAAATCACGAGGACCTGGCCATTAGTTGTCCATATATTTGCCCAGCTGCACCGGGAGCTTCGGAAGCCTCAGCCTTTTCTTGGACTTGAACTTCTTCCGCCAAGCAATGCCCGCAGTCGCACCGAAGGCCAGGGATCCAGCAATGATCACAGAACGGGTAGGTACCGACTGCAAAGCTGTGGACCCGGAGCAAACTCGTTCACCTTGTCTCTGTCAAGGGCAAAACCAAGTGGAACGAAAATGCGGATCGGGCTCCTGCTGCTATTAAGGGATAACCGTCCAGCATCGCAAAACCCCCAAAGACCACCCTGAATGTTCCTTCACCGCATAGAAACCCTATCTACACTTACACACCCCGCCCCCAGCCCTCAACCTAAAACGACTCGTCAAAGCCTTCCGCCAACTCTCCGTGGCCTGGTGGTCCCGACCTCCATCTGCTCCGGAGGCAGCTCACGGGCCGGGGGGCGTTCGCGACATGCAAAGGGGCAATCATCGGCGCTCAAGGCGCGCGCGCCAACAAAACCTCACCAAGTCGCCTTTTTCTGGAGGGTTCTATAATGTTGGGGGTTTGGAAGAAGGGTTTCGTATTAATGACCGCAAATAAACAGGTTTTAAGTTCATTGGAGAAGAATTTTTGCACAGCGGGGCCTGCGAAGGGGATGAGTGCAGAGTGAAGTCAAGACTCAACCAAGGCAACAAGAATCATGTGTGCGATCGTGCATGCGAGAAAGGTTGGTTTAAAATCAGCCATTTTTCATAGTTGATCTTAGCCTTGCCATTCACAGCTTCAGCTAACACACGCTATCTGCAAGCCAGAACAGCTGTGGCACGGCAAGGCATGACTGACAGGACGTGAGTCATGGCATCGCTTACCCCCGCCCCCGTGGCGGAGGCACTGACTGCCCCCCACTGCTGCCATCAAAAACTCAAATGTCGAGTTTACCAGCCGTTGCTCGGTGACATCAACGAGCCGGCCGGCCATGGCTGCATTTGTAGCAATTGATCAGAGCGTTCGACGATGTCAGATTGCCAACTGGTAAGTACAGATGGGGGCTGGGCTACCTTTCCAGTCTAGCATTATATCCAAACGCATCGGGAGACGATGAGCAAAAAACCAGGAAACTTGATCCAGTCCACCACCTCTACATGGCTCCCTTGAACGTACCCGGTCAGGTGTACCCAGGGACGCTGCAACCATTGGCAGAGTGTGTTGCATCCGATCCAGCCGAAGCAAAACTGGCATTCTGCAATGTGACTGGTCAACATGCAAAGTGAACCGGAACCGGTCTCAGTAAACTGGCATTTTGCAAAGTGAATCTGATGGATGTGCAGGGTGAAGCTGCAGGGAAGCACGTTCGAATCTGCTAATGTAGGAAACAATCAATCTGCAAAGTGTCCGATACAGAGGATCAAACAGTCGACTAGCGCTTGATCAAGCATGCTGTGGTAAAGATCGCCTGGCAACAGAAGTCGGGGCTCCTGCTTCTGCAAAGGCCCGGGTCAGATTGTGGGCTGGTCAGCATTCTCTTCCACGTTGGCGGCCAATGTCACCGCTGCGACTCCCTCTCTGCAGGGGTTGAAGCTCCTTAGGACGCTTCGGTTTCTCCTGTTGCTCTCTACACCTCCGGCAGCTCCAGGAAGGTGTTGCAAGTGAACATCTCGGCAACCCCGGCTTGTGGGTTGCCGAGAGATACTTGGCACAGGGTGCTCGAGGTGGGAAATTGCCACCTGAACATGTAAGGTTACACAGAGTAAGAACACGCCCCAGGCACGGTTTGAAAGTTGTGCGGCAATGGCGTCTTTTGCAGACCCCGCTGAACCTATCGTGCACACCGGAGCTTTGCAAGAGATGCAAGGATAGAGCAACAACTGAAATACAAGCTGCGCAAAGCCAGAAATCATGGCTGACCGAATTCACCTGGATCCCAGACTCTATGCGAGCAGTTCATCATGAGCAACTCATGTCAATGTGCAAAGATGTGCAAAGTGCGAGCTTCCATTCACAACTGAACTCCTGCAGCGTTTCGGATGTGGCATTGAACTCTTTCTTTTCCGTCGCACCTGCATCAATCGCTGAATGTAACGGAGAGCTCCTCCTTCACACGGCGAAACCATTCACCTGCTTGACATCTCTTCATCTTCAATCTTGAGCACGGCCTTCAAAGCGGAAGAAAGCCCCATCCAGGCTGAATGCTTCGCTGGCTGGTGATGGAAGTAGATCTCGACGTGGCGCCGTGATGAGCACTGCAACGAACTCAGTACAGCGGAAGTCAACCTGATCAGCAGCGTTTTGTTTTTGCAATCGCAGAAGCATTCAGGCAGCCTTAACCCTAAACCCTAGCAAACCTGCCTTCGTTGAAGACTTTTGCCATATGAGATCTGGCCGCCAGCTCGTCCTTGAAGTGCCTGGCCAGGGGAATGAGTGCGCTAGCAATCATTTAGAGTGCAATATAGTAGACTCCGTACCTAGTTGTAATACAGTTTGTATAGTATAACTAGTAAAAGATAGTGTCATTTTGCATCATAGTTTACAGCAATGCCTCAGCTCGTTGGTCTGCGCCTTCACAGGGTACCAGCGAGGTAGCAAACACAGGCTGCGTCTCAACGCCAAGCCTCCGCCCACCGCTGCAGGAAGTTCAGCATTTCTTCCAGGCCTGGTCTGGCTCAACATGACTCCAGAACCGTAGTATATTGTAGTATATTATAGTAAGTTATAGTATGCTACAATTTATATATATATATATATATATCATGACAGATTGGAGTAGAATATACGTAGTACGTTGCGTGTGCTAGTTAGAAGCAGCTTGTCAACAAGCAAGTGCTCCTGTAACTGCAGAGGTCTTCTCCAGAGGCCTTCGAATCACCATAGATCCCTAAACCGAGGAAACTCAAGGCATGGACCGCGCATGTCGACCGGCTTCTCGTCCGACTTGCTCCAGGCGTCCTGGTGCGAAACCTCTGCCACGCCTATGGCCTAGGCCCAACTCGAACTTTACGAGTATTCCATCCATAAGCCCCACATTGCACGATAGGTCTATGAACCGTATGAGCCCTGAACCCTGGCAAATGCCGGAATTTCCTCTGGCCAGGGCTGGGCAGCGGCAGCTGCCGCTGCATGGTGCCAGGCCTCGAAGGAAAAGCCATGATCGGTTCATCACTGCATCCCAAAGTCAGGTCGACTTTTTAATGGGTTCAGCTTCAGGTGCCATCAGGAAACGGAACAGGCTTACAGAGTGGCTTACAGTCTTCTCGGTCTGTCAGCTTCTGTGAGCCCCTGGCAGCAGCAGCCATTCTTTGAGCTGCGCTGTCTTTCGGTCGGTCCTGGCAATAGCCTACCGGCTCTTCGCTTCGGCACCGTGGTTTTGGCTCGCGGGCGGCCGGAGCCTCTGCTGGGGAAGCGGCAAGCCGCCTCGCAAGGCCTTCCAGCAGCTGCTCGTAGGCTTCCTGAAGACAGCCCGCGCTCAGATGAAGAAGCTACCCAGTATCAGAAGCAAGTCCCACGGATGTGCCTCGGCTGCTGGCGGCTTTCTTGGAGGGGCCTGTGGCAGAAGGACCCATCCACCGACCCTTCGAGGAGCAGACCGCCGCCTGGGGAGGATGAGCCTCCTGGGCTGCGACAGGCCTCGTTCAAGCCGATGCTCAGAGAGGATTCCAAAAGGGATACCATAAGGGTTCTATATAAGGGTTCCCATAAGGGTACTATAGGGTTTAGGGCTAAGATTCCATCTGCTTAAAGGGCATGGATTTGTCAAGAGAAGGTCGGGCCCCTCACAGAGTCAAAGGTTCCGATCTGGTCGCAAGGGTGGGCAGGTAGGCCTCCAGGGAAGGCCTGATCGGCACAATCAAGAGGGCTTCTTCACAACTCCGCCACTTTCCTGGATGATCGACAACTTTGAGCCACCGGCGAGGATTGAACACCTGGCTTCCACTGCACCTGTGGGTCACATGCGGTTTCGCTGGCTCGATCCAGGACTAACCGAGTGGCCCCCTGCGACTTGCAAGTTCTTGTGCTGGAGCACTGAAGACACCCAATCGGGATCCATTGCGCTTGCTGAATTCCCGAAGTCAGATCAGGACGGCGCACCTGCGTTTGAGACTGGATGGTGGTCTCACTGTGCGTGGTCCTTGTAGGCAGGCCGGTCATTTTCGCAAATTCGGGAGATTTGTTGTTGCACACCCCATGACCACTTCCATCTTCCGCTGCACCAACACGGCATGTCTAGGCTACCCGGCTGGGGAATCTCTTCTTTCTTGATCTCCGCTTGCCGTGCGGCTTCCCGAGACCGCTGCAAGGCATACCTGCGAGTTATTTTTTCACGCACGACCCTAGAAGTTGTTCTTTGAGCATCTTTCTCCGCCTCACCAATCCAGCTCAGCAGAATCCACTTCGTCGTGGAAGGCTAAAAAGTTTGAGGTTCAGGGTTTTGGGTCGAAATCCCGCAGCCCAAGCCAAGAATCATTGTGGGACTGTTTGATGGCGCGCGCACCGCTCATGCGTCCGCCAGAATTCAGATGCCAGAGCTGACTGGCCTGGAGCCTGATCAAGAAGCCACACAGTGTACCTAAACATAGCAATGTGACACTACCTCTGCTAGCCACAAAAGCAGAAGCATGCAGAAGACTAATTGCTGCCGCTGCGGAGGTTGTGTAAACAAGCGCAGTCTAAAACAAATGCCACGAAAGGGTGCCGGACCTTCACGCCACGGTTTTTGCAAAGACAGATACCAAGAGGTTCCGTAACCAGAACCTTGAAGAAATTGCATCAGACCTCGTCATTCTCTGAAAAATTCTGCTGATACTCCCCAGTGCACAAAAGCCATCAACAGTCCACATCTCCAATGCTCGCTTGTCGCGAGCCCCATCACAAGTTTTCGAAGACCCGGGGCCGGCGCCTTCGGTTTGGCCAGGGGCTCGGGACCTCGGGCAAGCAGTGCGAGGAGATTTGCAGGTAGAGCAGCCTGGAGAAGAAAGTGGTAAGGTAGGTCAAGGCTGCCAGTGAATTTTTGTTTGAGGTTCTGTGCTCGCCTGTAGGTTGCTCTTAAACTGCCCTTGGATGACTTGCCTTCCTTGCCTTCACTTGACACGATCTGAGCCGCGCAGCTCCATAGAGATAGGGATGCGTCGCCGAAGCCGACCTCAACAGCGAGATGAGCAAGGTCGAGGAATTCTGGCACTCCCTTGTATAGCGATAATAACGAAGGTGTCGTGTATTCGTATGTGCATATATATATATATGCGTGCAGGTTCACGCAGTTAATGTATTGGGTGTGTGTGTGTGTGCCCTGTAGGCGCGTGTAAAAATGAACATGACCATATTATGACCATATACACAAAATATACAATCCTTGTATCTGAAGTTTTCTAAAGCAAGCAGTGGCACTCAGTTGCCGGCTTGTGGTGAGAAGCCGAGACGCTTGCTCGGACCTTTGCGAGGAGGAGGCAATGGTTCTCCGTGAGCTTCCACGGACAGGAACAGTGCAAGGTAGAGAATGTACAAATTTTCGCTCGTAGTCTGCTTCTACCTTTCTTGATTTGCAAGCATGTGTCACACACTGACACCTGTTCTCACCTGGCGCAAAGCCCAATCTGCCACAGAAGTCCATGAGATCACCGACCTGCGATCCCCTTCGAGGGCTCTGCTTCCGAGGGAACTCTGCTCGGAGAGTCTCACCACCGGCAGGGATGACACGACCTGTAAGGCTATGTGAAGCGCTGCACAGCTTGACACGGCGCACACGGCCCACTGCCCGTGTTTGTACTGTACACTGTGGTACAAGCTATGAGTAGCGAATTGCTTGTGAAGATATCGCTTGAGGACTTTCCACGAGAAGGAAAACGATCAGCATCGCCCAGGAGCCTGGCCTCACCCCACTTGGACGGCGAAGGCACCTGTCGCACACGGGATGTTGGTGCTGGTTGCTGTCTCAATACTCTTGCGAACAAATGTGTGAAGGTGTGGGTGTGCGTGTGTCTATGTATATGTAGACATACATATTCATTTTCACATATATCTAGAAATAAATAAATAAATAAATAAATATATATATATATATCCGTGCAATCAGCAATCAGTTGCAAGAGCATTCTCAGGTGAACCCGTACTGCATAGTTGAGTTCTCATCCGGATCCGGGTGTTGCATGACAAAAGAGCAAGGCCACAAGTCGACATCTTCAACCTCAGCACTTAGCCAGGTCCATTTTGCGAAGGACTCCAGCAGACGGCATGCAAGCTCCTCCTCCTCACTCTATCACCAGCATGAGCCCTGAACCCTCAGCCCGTAAAACACCGGAGCGGAGCCCTGCTGGAACCTGAGCAGCCGTTCGAGCCGGCTTGCGCGGAGGGGTGGAGCCTGGGGAAACAGATTGCATGCTCATGTGGACCGAAGATTCCTTCGAGCGCACGTGCGTGCTTCGGCCTCAGTGCCTCCCCGACGTGCTTAAAAGGTTGAAGAACCTCTGAGTCTGGGTTTCTCCCAATTCTGAAAAAGGGAGGCCAGCAGCAAAGCTGCACCAGAGGATGCTAGCATCTTGAGCTGTCTGCTTCTTGGCTCCATTTAGGCCTTTTTGGGGTTTCCGCTCGATGGCTCAGGCATTCCTCGCCGAAGTTGCCTTCAGCAACTGCATGGCTTACCCCGCGCCTCATCCATTGATGATTCTAGGAGCCGCTTCCCGAAAGATCGAAACAGCAATGGTGCGTAGTTGCTCCTGGTGTGTGTGTGTGCTTGATGACAGCAGCTCTGCCAGTACCAGTATCGGCAGCAATGCCTCACCGTCAGCAGGATAGTGCTTCATCACCTTCTTCATCATTCTAATTCGTCATCAACATACGACAGCCGTTTCAATCGTGTCGATGCTCACGACATGTCACTACCATCGACTAACCTGACGTCGCAGGAGTTAAGGCGTGATGGGGGGTGGGAGCTCCAAACCCAAAGCGAGCTTTCTTGCGCCCTCTGCGCCAGGTTCGTCGGTCGCTTCTGAACAGTCCTGCTTTGCAGGTGCCATGAGTACCCTGTGCACAACTATAATCATGCTATGAAAATGCATCGACCTCTCGACACCTGTGAAACGTGGCAGTCGCGCCAACGGCCGCCGGAAAAACTTCTGATCAAAATGCCATCGAACTACAGTCATATCTCACCATTCCTTTACATCCTGCATGGTGGCATCGGGTAGCAAGTTTGCAAACTTCTGCATGTCGGCGAGGATCTGGCCGGTGCTTTGACCTTCTGTTGTCTCCAGGCGGCGAAAATCACTTCCGAAGCGCCGCAAAATGTATCCTTCCTTTATGCCTTTCACGTCCGCAGGACGTTCGACTTTGGAGACCACAGGTGGTGAGGCAGTGCCAAAAGCGAGACCCAGAGGCCGTGCATGCCACATGAACTCCCTCAAGCTCTTGTCCGGAAGCTCGAACACGCAGATCATGCCTCGGAGATGAAGCTTCAAGGCGAGTTTGAAAAACACCGAAGAGCATGTACTAACAGACATGCGGAAACATGCCCTGGACACATGAACCCTTTTCCATCGAATTACTGACATGGAGCCCGACGACATGAAGATGAATTGTATCTTGTTGGCTTTGAAAAGACTTGTGCCAAGGCTCGAACCGCAGTCGGACAGTCTGCCATGTGACTGTGTATGTCTTTTAGGACCTCGTCGAAGGGCTTGCCTTCCACCGGAAGCAGCATGTTTTTGTCCTTAGTTCGTGGGAGAATTACGCTTTGCAGTTCGGTGCCTTGCTTGCTGGTGCTGGCTTGTGACGGACAACTTGCCGTAGAGCCCATTGACGCAGCATCGAAACAAACAATCTGCGAGTAAGGCCCCGTCCATTCCGTACCGTGTCAGCTTGTCGCCCACTTGTACGTTCATGTGGAGAGCCTCTTCGTGCACCTCCATCACGACCGGCGATTTGCCGTCGAAGGCAAGGCCGAGAGGCTTCGTTTTCCACTCCAACTGTCTAGACCTTCCGTCGACCGTCTGAAACTCCAAGAGCATGCCTGACAGACAAGAGAGAGAGGGAGAGAGAGATAGAGAGACCGCAGACGGTCGCAGAACAGAGGCGACCAGAATAGGAGAATATTGCCTGTAGAGCCAAAGTCGCGGGGCACATCAGGAAGTTGAGAAACCAAGCCGCTGAGCTGTGACCAGAACTCATCGTAGGACTTGCTCCGGATCGGGCGCAGCCCATTCTTTTCCTGAGTCTGAGAGAGTCAGCCACGAAACGATTTTAGCTTCTGGTCCACCTGCATCAGTCGTTGACTGGTGCCGTCGGATATTGAAGCTAAAGATGAAGACGAAGACCACGATTCACACCACATAGCGCTAGGGTGGTGGTGGTGGTGGTGGTGG